ATAACATCTTTTCAAAGGTGGGACTTTGAGAGCCCTGGTAGGGGAGCAGTACAAGCTAGATTACAGGCTCCATAAATCATACAAAGGTGGTTCAACACCAGCCTTATTTCTAGATTTCAACACCCATATAGCAGTGTACTTATAGATGAGACTATTGATCTCTTATAATGTTCCATATGTATTTACCTACTTGAGTCTCCCCAGAATGTGTTTACTGAGTACCTGTTGACTCTCAGGCACTAACCATATGTTAGTGAACAGAGAAGGTAGAAATCCCTACTCTAAAAGAGCTTGTGGGGCAAATACTAAGTATTGTACATAATTAGACTATGTAGTGTGTGTATGTATACACTATACACACACACACACACATATATACATACATACATACATACATAGCATTAAATAATTATGAGAATTAAGGAGAAAAGGAAGCAAAGAAATGTAATAGAAAGTCTCAAAGGGCATACATAATGCCATTTCAGTGAGGGAGCGAGAGAACAGATTTAGTAGCCCTGTGGAGACAAAGTACTTTCTAGATCTGGGGGAAAACAAGTGCAAAGTCCTAAGGTGGGATTGTGCAAGGTGAGCATTATGGCTTGAGCAGTAGTGAGCTAAACAGTGACATTAGCAGACATTACAGTTAATGGTAAAGACTTTGGTTTTTCTTATTAATTTTAAGGGAGATAGAAATCACTAGATGTTTGGAGCAAAAGAATGATGTTATCTGACCTACATTTAAGCATATTGTTTTTGTACTGTTGAGAATAGATTATGAATGAGGACAGGTAGAAAGGTCAGGTATGGTATGGCAAGGTTTATTGGGGCAGAAGAGAAGCTATGGTGAATTTTGACTATATCAAAGGTAGCCTAGATTTCTGAATGTCACACAAAACATGCAGAACTGCTTGGATATTGAAATCCTATGTAACATAGTATGATCATTCTTAGAAGCTGTAGCTATACACAGTGATACACAGGTTGTATTCAACAGCCGATTAGTATATTTGTCACATGCTGATCGTTTCTGTACTGTGTACAGGTTTTCTAACACCAAAGATTGTTAGCAAGGAATGATTAAAATCATCTCTGATGTTTTAGAGATGTATCTTTTCTTTTCTTTGTAATTTTTAGCTCATACTGATATACTTTTTTTTTGGTGTGTGTGTGTGTGTGTGTGTGTGTGTGTGTGTGTGTGTGTGTGTGTTTTGGACATGGAACCCAGAGCCTTGTGCATGCCATACAAGTGCTCTATTACTGAGCTAAATACCTTACTCTAAGGAAGAATGTTGTAACATGCTGTCTTAATTAGGGTTTCTATTGCTGTGAAGAGACACCATGACCACAGTAACTCTTATAAAGAAAAACATTTAATTGAGGTTGCAGCTTACAGTTTCAGAGGTTCAATCTATTATCATCTTAGTGGGGCATAGCCTCATGTAAGCAGACATGGCGCTGGAGAAGTAGCTGAGAGTTCTACATCTTGTAGGCCATAGGAAGTGAACTGGGACACTAGGTGTGGCTTGGGCATATATGAGACCTCAACGCCCACCCCCACGGTGACATACTTCCTCCAACAAGGCCACACCCACTCCAATAAAGCCACACCTCCTAATAGTTCCACTCCTTTTGGGGGCAATTTCCTTTCAAACCACCACACATGCCATCCTCTTATGTGCCAATTGACATTGCTGCTTGAGCATATGGATCTAAAGTGGGAGTTATAGACAACTTTACTTTTATTGTTTTTCTACTGCCATGGACATGGAAATGATTTGTAGTGTGGACAGAGAGGAACAGATCAATGATCACCTTGGGAGCTTCATAATCTTTTTTTCATCATGGCATTAATTTGATAATTCAGGAATATTTCTAATAACTTCATCCCAGAAAAGTTTGTAGGCAGTTTATGAAATTATTTTAAGGTATTGTTGAGAGTGTTTTCTACTGTGAAATAGCATAGTATTCCTTTCTACCATGCACATGTGTGGAATGAGTCTTGTTGGTCCTTACCTTACACTACCACACATGTAGCTAATGTTCATGTTGTGACCAAGACGAGGGTTGTGTGTACTGCACAGAAGAGGTAGAAAGGCAAATAAAAATCTTACCTCTTTGAAGAACTTAGAAGTAGTTTATCTTCTAGTAATTTGGTGTCTATGCAATATGTGGCATGGAAACTTATGATTTATTTTATGTGTTTATATATGTAAATAATTATGACCTACAACACTTTATAAACTTAGTTTCACATCATATGATGAGCTTGAGCTTTTCTTTATCAAACAGTATTCTTAACAATTCTTCAGTCACATGAATAATTCTCATTTGGTTTATTTTATTTTGTCCATTTTCTCTTTAAGACTATTTAAGTCACTTCTAGTATTTTACTACTGAAAACCATACTTTGTTGAATATTGTGACTTACCTTTTATTTGTATGTAGGTCTTCTCAAATTCTCAAATGAGGGAATTTCTGTGTATATGTATTAGTGTCAGAGTTATAAACTTAAAGCTAGGAATTGAGCTGTTTCTCTCTAACGCTGAAGGGATTGTCAGACGTACTGGTTGTCACATAGTAGTGGTAGATAGACAGGTGACAGTTAGGACATGGGGAAAGTGGTGCTTAGAGGTACAGATACATGGTGACAGCTCACGCTTACGGAACACTTAGCTGGACTCCAGATCCTGTAGTAAGCACTTTATATGCCTATTACTTATTTTGAACTTTATAAGGTAAGTATATTTATTAAACTCACCATTGGTAAGAGAACTGAAACATTGAAAGGCAAGTCTTTAAAGAAAAAACCTAGAGTTATACAGTTAAATGGTAAACCATTCTGTCTTGCCACTACCCCCAATAAATGCTAGCTAATTGTTGGAGTGTTGAGTGGGTACTGTACACTATCACTGTTAACCTCTTCTATGGAGCTGCAAAACCCAAAGGTTGTTTTGAGTCCATATTCTAGGAATCTAGGAGGGAAATTTAGTGCACATTCTTACACATCACCTATCAAGGAACAGCACTGTACAACAAGTCTATTCATACTTCTGAAGATAAACTTTATTTCGATTTTTGAGACAGGGTTTCTCTGTGTAGCCCTGGATGTCCTGGAACTCGCTCTGCAGACCAGGCTGGCCTCAACCTCAGAGATCCACCTGCTTCTGCTTCCCAGGTGCTGGGATTAAAGGTGTGGTGTGTCACCGCTACATAGTTAAGCATGTTTGTTTTTACAGTATGAGAGATTTAAAAAAAAAATAGAATAAAACCCAAAATGAATAATCTTCTGATTTTAGCACTCACTGTGAAGTAAGTCATTTGAGGGATTGTAGACCTGTGTGAAATCTTAGCATGGTACCTGCCTGCCTGCCTTTGCACACTGGGTGGGTATTGTTGGGCACGTGGAGGTTAGAGGACAACTTAGCTGCAGGGACTCCTGTTCCTGTTGCTGTGCTGTGTACTTCCAGCTGCCTGCCCTGGGAGCTTCTGGGTGATCCTGTCCACACTTTCCATCTTGTGTGAATACTGAGATTACAGATGTGCACCACCACACCAGGCTTTTTACATGGGTTACTGTTTGTTAGGCATGCTTGTGTGGCTAGATTTTTTTACTGAGCTATTTTCCTGACACATCCTTTACCATTTTATTTGATGATGTAACTTTATGACTACTGAGAAATGTTATGCACTAATTTTAATTATATCATCATATTACTTTAATGACAATCTCATATAGATACAAATTTATTAAGTGCCCTTAATATGCACATTTGCTATTAAAACTTATTTAAAAATTAGAGCTTGCATTTAGACTTACTTTTATTTTGGAAATTCTCCTTTGAACTGTTCAAAGATCTATATGCATATTGTGTCCTGCATGTTAGGACGCTATGTTGTTAGTTTCCAATTGCTGTAACAAAATGTCTCAAATAATTACCTTATAAAAAGGAAACTTTATCTTGGCTTATGGTTCTAGAGATCTCAGTGTGTAATCAATTAGCTCTCTGCTACTGGGCCTGTGGTGAAGTAGCATGTTGTTCTGGGAGTGTGTGGCAAAATAAAACCATCTGATAGGAAGAAAGGGAAGGGAGGGACTAATCAAGTCAATTTAGGGTCCCCCAGAGCCCAACAACTTAAAGGCACTAAACTATTATTAAGCCTTTAAAACTTGTGCTGTCATCAGAAGTGCTGTGCTGGGGATCAAACCTTTACCATGACGTGGACCAGCAGATAATTGTGTTCTCCAGTGGTGCCTCTCCATTACAGGAAATGTTGTTGGCGAATATTTTTTGTTTCAGCCCTGTAACAAATACAGAAATCTGGAAGGGCTCTAAAGAGATTATCTAGTTAAATGGAAACTAGATTAGGAACAGAAACAGTTTATTGACAGTGAGAATAGTCTTATTTGTAGTTGGCAGTTTTTTGATCTGTAACTGGATATGTAAAGTGCAGAAGTATTCTTGTTGGAAGGAATGTGTATAGTCCACAGTTTGTCAAACTGTCAGTCATGAGTTCTCTTTGGTAGGAGTTGGGGGAGGAAGGGAAAGAATGAAGTGGAGTATATGCACAGATGGTAATAGTATGTGGAATAGAAAGCATCATCATCTTCAGTTCATTTTGTATCGCTTGATTCCCACAGAATTATCTCTCCTTTGCCAGCTGCATTTCCTGTCTCATGGTGCTGGAATCTGGCATGCAATTATATTGTGCATCTTGGTCAGTTTCTTAGTAATTGATGATGAGTTGAAATTTCTGGAAAGGAAGATATAATGTATAATTAGCAGCAAACACTCTTCACAAATAAAAATCACTTCTTTGACATATGTTCACTAATGTAAAATTTCAATTTGACATTTAATTTAGGATCTTAGAATTGATCAGCATTGAAACAATTGATAATTGGTGTTTATTTTTTCTTACAGAGAGGAAAATGGAAAATGGATGAAGTAAATAATTTTTTTGCCATGCTTTAAAAGCTTTATTTCCTTTATCTTTTCTAGGTTGCTGTAGTTAAACTGAAAAATGCAGATAAAGTATTTGCCATGAAAATTCTGAACAAGTGGGAGATGCTGAAAAGAGCTGAGGTGAGTGAGTCTTTGTGCTCTGTCCACTGGATGGCACCAGGTTTCTCAGTTAGGCCACCTTAAACTTGTGCATAGTCCAAACACAAGCAAGCAGACCCAGATTATTAGTGCATTGAATTATTCCACCAAAATTAACTTTATGTGTTCGTAAAAGAGAGATTTCAAAATGAGGGAAGAAAGCCTATCAGAACCAACCATGCCAACCGCAGAGTGCAGTCAGTGCAAAGGGGCTTAGCTGATGTTTGACGCCTGGGATGTTGTCCTTTGACCTTCACAGGTGTGTGCACCATGGCAGGTAGGCACCTGCATACATGTGTGCACACTTACTCACACACATACAGTAAATATTTTAAAAAGATAAAAAGATAGAAGGACTGTGAAGTGTTCTTAATTAGAGATATTGCCGGGGTGGCCCCAAGGACTCTAATTTGTATAAAGAGATATTGAAATGATCTTAGGATAATTTTTACATGTTAGGATTTTGTAGGTTGTGTGTATATTACAACTTAACCACATTCCTGGGTTTGGAGTAGGGGTCACATGTAACTTTAAAACCTATTGCTTAAATAAATGTTTTAATTATTAACTCAGAGTATAGAGCGGTATGTATTTTTAAGCACATTTGCCAAATATAGGTATCAAATGATTTTTGTTAGTTATATTAAAAACATTTTTTCTGACTATTTAAAAATTTTTGTGTCTCATTTTTTATGGACATAAAATATATGTTAAACTATATACTTGAAAGTAAATTTAAAAGTTGCTGGGTCCAACTAGCATTTAGGAGATAGAGACAAAAAGATTAAGAATTCCAGCCTATCCTTAGGTAGCAAGTCCAAGTCTAGCCTGGGATACAAAAAGAACTTGTCACAAAAAACTACAAACAACTAAAAACTGTGAGTTTGATGCCTTACTATATGTGTATATAGTATGTGTGTTTGTATGTATGTATGTATGTATGTATGTATATCTTTAAGATTTTTTTAAAATTTAAAATGCCATTTATTTTTTAAAATAAAAATCTTAGACTTTAAATATTTTAATATTATTTGAAAAATTTCTCTGTAACAATGTTTTGTGGAGAGAAGCCTTTATTTTTATTCCTGATAAATGAGAAGCCAAGCTAGGTATAATCATCAGTATACTTTGCATTTTTTAATGATCTTCATTATTATTGTGTGATTGCATGTGTGTGAGTGTACATGATGTATATGTGTGCGTATAGGCAGGTACCTGCGATGATACATGTGTGGCAAGGTCAGAAGACAACTTTCAGGAGGTTAGTTTACCTCTCCACTCCCACCCTGGGGGAATCTCAGGTCTAGAATCAGGTCATCAGTCTTGAATGGCAAACACTTTTTGCCTACTGAGCCATCTTGAGGGCACTATGCATGTAGTTTTGATGTGCTGTATAGGATTGCTAATTTGAGGCATATAGTGTATGATCATTCTAAAGAGTCATGTAACAGCTTTACAGAATTATTGTTTATATATGGGACCTTACTTAACCTCTATTTCAACATACAAATTCTTGTTGCCCATTATCCCAGTAGCCCATTAATGATGAAATTTAAAGAACATATTACTGAATACAGAAAATGTAATTAAATATGTTTGTGTATGTGTGTTTGCACCAGTGGAACTGAGGGATGGTGGTGCATCTGTATATGTTTGAAATTGTATATTGTAGTTTATTACATATAATTATCTTAAAACATTTTTTACTGAGAAATTCAGGATAGATTAGAACTTACAGTTAAATTTGTTTTGACTAAAGTCTTCAGAGTTATGTTTAGTTTGGAATTGTCAATCAAGTAAAGCAGTAGTTACTATATTCTAGCTGGATTGTCTTTAAAATTTTAGATCACTGTCATTGTAAGATAAAACCAGGAAAGGGGTTTCCTGGACTCTGTCAGCCTTCTAAAATATTAAGTGCAAACCATTTTTTTTGAGGTCAGTTAAGCTATATAGCTGGATTTAGTAGACTAAGTAAGTAACATGATTCTGTGTTCTTCCTGAAGTGAACTAAAGCATAATGTCATAGATTTTAGTAATTTGACTGACAATTTAAATCACTATTTGATAGGTTACATTTACTTGTTTGTTTTCTCAGATAATGTATTTAATTCCTGACTTTGTCACTTCTGTTTGTCCCAGTAAGTTCTTTGTGTATATACGTGAGAATACTAGGGCTAGTTGTATAATAATTTGTTTCATGTATCATGGCTACTTAATTATCCTTATGGATAACCAGTACCAACAGTAAGAGCTGAGGATATAACTCACAAGTGCAAAGACTGTCTAGCATATCCAAGATCCCAAGTTAAATCTTACTACAATGCAAAAGTCAAAAGCACTTGCTATGTTCATTTTTTATGTCTTTAAAAATGGCAAAGTTGATATGGAAGAATTGGAAATTATTGTCATCTAGGTAATGGGTTGGTTGGTCTGTGTATAAGCTAAATCTGTGAATTCTTTGGATTGTTTTGGACTAAAGCAATTGTAAAAATTATTAAATGTTTTAGATTGTAATAACACATTTTGAGAAATTGGATGGTGCCTTCTAGGTTGGTATAAAGCACTTTTACAATCTTTCCTTTCCCTTTCAGACAGCATGCTTTCGTGAAGAGAGGGATGTACTGGTGAATGGGGACAACAAGTGGATAACAACTCTGCACTACGCCTTCCAGGATGACAACAACTTAGTAAGAAATAGTTTTCTAACCTTAGTCTTTAGTTGACAGAGGTTAGCATTTTTTTCTTAAAGTGTTACATAAACATAGATTTTAAAAATAGAAACAAATTACCATGTTTTACAGAGTAAGTTGTACACTTAGTATGAGAATTTTTTGTCTGACAAATTTGATGCTTTTTTAAAAAATAGAATTTGCTTATGCCTTTAAATAAGAAATCCCAAACTACATCCCTACTGTTTTAATTTCTTTCAGTTAAATGCTATAGGAGATAGTTTAGGAGTTTTTCTTTTTATGACTCTCCCAGTATATTTTATTAGTAGTGTTCTGCTTCTTAAAACTTTATACACTTTTCATTGTGACCATATGCTGTATTAAGGTAGGCTACATTTATATGACATCATAGGCCACTTTACAGAAGATTAGGAAGAACTTAGAGAAAACTGAAAATATCAGAATCTGCAGCACCTGAGTATAAATAACAATGAACAGAAAAACTAGAGACAGGGAAGTAAAAGTCAAGGATAAATAAGGTCAAGTTTTCTCCAGTACAGTGTGCCTGCTGTTGTTCTACTTGGCCTGCTATTCATAGTTATTTAGTTTTTGATCAATTTTTATTTTCAGATTTATATCTTTTAGGAAAGTATTCATGTCTTGAGATGCTGTTATGTACCAGACTTGACAACTGAAATAGAAGGAATAAGGGACAGTTTTTTTGTTTGTTTGTTTGCTAAATACTTACTGGATGTGTGCTCTCTGCTGGGCATTGTTCTTTTTATTTGGAGAGAATAGTAAGTGAGAGATATAAGTTCTCTCTTCTTAGTGTCCTTTATTTACATAAAGTATACCAGGTGATAAATGTAAAATCAAGTAATATATGTAGTTAGTAGTAGATGAAAATGCTACATTTATACAGAAATACAAAGTCTGTGAAGATTCTTTGAAGACAGATACAAAGTAGCTAAATCAAGAAAGAAGAAAGATACAAAGAATGTTACACAAACTTTAAGGTTTAGTCTTCATAAAGTTGTATTGGAGTACAGCTACATTAATTGACTTATATATTGTCTGCAAACTATCAAGCTAGTTATAACTTGATAGCATTTTGAGTTCTGTGCATGTTGCTGTACCATGATATTTTATTTTCTATTAATAATACATATCATGTCAGAAAGCTTTAAAGCATAGGACAGTGTTTTTTTTAATGGATTAAATTCAGAACATTGTGTTTATTATGAAAACACATTACACATCCATACAAATAGAATATAGTATATACATACATGGTCCAAAACACCACACATTACCATATTCTCAATTCACAGGAAAGAATTGATTAGTAAAGTTAATAAATTTAAAACAGAATACTTCATTATAATAGAATTCCTAAAAATTAGATGAAAGTGAGTCTATAGCTGTGTAGGTGATTTCTGAGAAGCTTATTTATTAAATAATTAAAAAAAAAGCCATTTACCAGTGTTCAGAGCCGAATCATGCTTGATTGCAAAGCAGATGAAGAATGGTCTGGGAAAATAATCTCATTCTTTTATTGAAAACAATTGTTCGAAAAATTGAAGACATCAGGAATAACAATGATTGACTTTAAAACTAAGGAAATATGAAGATTTGTTTTTATCTCTTATGTAATTAACCACTCTTAACCTTAATCTTGTCTCTTGGCATCCCAAACCTATAGTATTTAACTGTCTGTCTCTCTATAGAAAACTTGACCTGACTTCTCTTAACGATAACAGTAAATACAGGGCAAGTAAGAATCATGGAATTATGCTTGTAAACATGAAACAAGTGCAGATGTGCCTAATGGATGAAAAGGACGCCAAGGAGAAATTTCATGGTAGTGGTCCCTAAACTGATGGAGACATTGCACTGTGGAGACTAAAGAAAGGAGAGTAGGGCCAGGCATGCATTTCAGTGCTAGAGTATGTGCTAGCATGCTGGCATATTCAAGGTCCTGCCCCGGTCCCAGGAGTACAAGAGATGGCCAATAACACTAACTATATTTTTTAGTTAAAAAAAAAAAAAGACTTTGCTGTTCTTCCTTTCCTGTACTCATCCAATCCGCATTTGTCTTTAATGCCATACCTGTTTTAAGTACCCCCCCAGAGACATTGAGATTGTGCTGAAATTCTACATGTTAAAATAGCAATTTCCAGAATTTTAGTTGGAATTAAACTTTGTCTTATTGTAGCTTTATATTTTTAAAGTCTGTTATGAAGTGTGTGTGTGTGTGTGTGTGTGTGTATACCTCTGAATCTTTGGTAGAAATACGTGGCCTTAGTATATTTAGCTAAAGTAAAACTAAAGGTTTGTTTGTAGCTGTAATACACATGAGGTTTTTTTTGTCTGATGTCAAGTCAGATCCAGGTGTGGAAACAATGCTATTTTACTATTTGTTATCTCCTATGTGTTTTTCAAAAATTATAAAATTCAGTATAAAACCAATTTAGTGGGCAATAAACAGAATTTAACAATTAAATAGAAAGGAAAACAAATGTTAAGACTATTATTGAGAGTAAATACTGACTTAACAACTTTTTTAACAGTGTTCATGGGAGATGTGAGCACCCCTCCCCCCTTTAGATAGGGAACTGGTGACAGACATAGACATACTAAAGTATTCTACCACCAGAGTCCATCTTGGTGAGCTACTGAGTTGTATTAGGCTTGATTACAGGAACAGAAATGACCCAAAGGCAGCTCTGTCACTAACAAGCCACCCCAACATGATGGACAGCCCACAAAAGCTGGAAGCCTGGAGCACAGTGCTTGCCTGCAGGCAGGCAGCTCAGCAGGTTGGAGAGTGTCCTCTACAATTGGTCTGAAGTTGTCTGTGCTTTTCCAGGTAGCTCAGCTGCTCTGACTAGTGATGTCTGGGCAGCCTGGCCTAATAGTGTCATTCAGCAGTCGGTAATGTTGTATACACTTTGGAAGGAGGGGTTGGGACTAGTGAATCTGGTCAGTTTCCGAGAGTTTGTGAAGCTATTTTGAGTTGTTTACTTCCTGAGCTTAAGGCGCTTCCCTGCACAGTGGAATGTTTGCCTCCCTTAGAACACCCTGCTGCCTTCTAGTAAACATTCTATGTCTTAACGAGCTTCCCTCCAAGATGGAAGGTTTTGATCTTGGAAGAAACCTGGACACAATAGTGGCATTTGTTTTTTAGTGCATCATATGTAGCATTGTAGTAATTGTTTCTAAAATGACAGGATAAATAAAGCTCTGCATGTATTTACTATTCAGTGTCAGAGTAAATGTAATGATGTTTAGTTGGATTTTGTTTGATTATTGAAATTTTAGGAATGAACATATCAGGCAGATACATGTAAATTTATTAGCAAAATTCATGAGTACATTGAACCTAAACTAGGTATTTATTTACACTTAGAAAAAGTAAAGTATGTATTATGATAATTTTAAAAAGTAATAAAGACTAAAATCCTGTCAGTATATTCTTTGGAGATAGAGTTATCACTATGAATTCATACATCATTCAAAAACTACATTTTGTTATAATTGTATGAGTAAACATAAAAAAGTGCTCAAGCAACAAATTTTATTTTATGTATATGAGTGTTTTGCCTTTATGTTTGTGTACCACTTGTATGCCTTATGCCTGTGGAGGTTAAAAGAGGGCATCCAATCCTCTGGAACTGCAATTGGGGGCAGACATGAGTGCATAGTGGGAGTGCTGGGAACAAAACCTGGGTCCTCTGCAAGAGATGAGCCATCTCTCCAGCCCCGCAAAGGTCAAATTTCAAAAAGCAAAAAAGTATGAGCTGCTCATTAACATTGTGTCTTCTGAATTATTTAGACCACCCTGCTGTCTTTATTTCAGACTTCAGTGGCGTTCTCTCAGAGAAATGATCTGTGTGTAGCAGTTATATTATTTGTGTGGGAGGAGACTCTAAATAAAAATTCTTGTCATTTACAAGAGGCAGAATTCAGAAGTCTTAGTTATCATCACAGCCATCCTGTTTTATTTTTATTTATTTTATATAACCAAGTCCATTTAAATGAAAACAAACATTTATAGACAATATTTGGGAATTTGGGCGTCGTTCTTTCTAAACTATGTTCTTTCCAAACTACTTCCTGCTGGTAAGGGGCACTGTCATGGGGGACTCTAAGAAGATGCAGAAATCCTGGCTGTAGTCTGTGAGGCTGCTTTGTCCAGCTATTTTGAATGTAGGATCACCTGGTACTCTGTTTCAGGTGGTCTGGCTTGATTAAACCACATTAGTCTGGAAGAAATCCACAGCTTTTCATTTTCTGTGGAAACAAAAATAGAAATCCTTTTCCCCAGTAACTTAAATTGAACTTAAATTTTGGAGTCAAAGCATTTTTTTAAATTTTAATTTATTATTTTACATGTCAATCCCAGTTCCCTCTTCCTCCCTTCCTCTCTTCCTCTCTTCCTCCCTTCCTCACTCCCTCCCTCCCTCCCTCCCTCCCTTTTATCTTCTCTGCCCTCTCACATGCACCCTAACCACCCTCCCCTCCCATCCCCCCACCGTAATTCCATATGTAGGGGAATGCCATCCAGTTGGGGTCATGTAGATCTGACAGGTCATGTGAAGTAGGGACTAGGGCTTCTCTCCTGTCTCTAGGTTAAGGCAGTATCCCTCCATGGGGGATGAATCACAGCCATTCTTTTAAGCTTTTAAACATGTTAGAAAATAAATGAGTGTGTAGCTGAGTGGCAACTACTGTGCCACTGGTTCTGGATTGGATCCCCCTGCACCACCCAAAACAAAAACAAAACCACCCATAAAACCTATTTTGGAGCTGAAGCAATGGCTTAGCAATTAAAAGCACTTGTTCTTATAAAAGACCTGAGTTTAGTTCCTACCAGCTATATTGGGCAGCTCACAACTGCCTGGAACTCCACTTCCAGGGGACATATGCTGCTCTCTGATTCCCCACGGGCACCTGGACACCTGTAGTTCATGTACATTCAATCAGTGCCTATGCACACTCATAAATAAATACATCTT